TATAGGATTTTTTATGAATTGATTTGCACATTATGGTGGAAAATAAACATTTGGTCACCTACAAACAAGTATGTATGTATCACTGTGCGCCTCCCATAGTCTGTTCTGGACATGGGGACTGTGAAGAGACCTCTGGTGGCATGTCTTGTGGGGTATGCTTGTGTGCCAATAGTTCAAACAGACAGCTTGGTGCATTCAACATGTCAATATCTCTCACAAATACAAATAGTGATGAAGTCAATCTCCCCACCAATTTGAGCCAGGAGAGATTGACGTGCAAATTACTAATATTAGCTCTCTGTGTACATCCAATGGTCAGCCGTGCTGCCCTGTTCAGAGCCAACTGCAATTTTCCTAAGTCCTTTTTTGTGGCACCTGACCACACGACTGAACAGTAGTCCAGTCGTCCATGTTTTGACCATGACAGTTTACAATCCATGGTTACTCCAAGCAGTTTAGTCACCTCAACATGCTCAATTTCCACATTATTTATTACAAGATTTAGTTAAGATTTAGGGTTTAGTGAATGATTTGTCCCAAATATTTAGGACTAACATATTCATTGCCACCCACTCTGAAACTAACTGCAACTCTTTGTTTAGTGTTGCAGTCATTTCAGTCGCAGTAGTAGCTGACATATAGTGGGGAAAAAAAAATATTTAGTCAGCCACCAAAAAAATCCAGAAAATCACATTGTAGGATTTTTTATGAATTTATTTGCAAATTATGGTGGAAAATAAGTATTTGGTCACCTACAAACAAGCAAGATTTCTGGCTCTCACAGACCTGTAACTTCTTCTTTAAGAGGCTCCTCTGTCCTCAACTCGTTACCTGTATTAATGGCACCTGTTTGAACTTGTTATCAGTATAAAAGACACCTGTCCACAACCTCAAACAGTCACACTCCAAACTCCACTATGGCCAAGACCAAAGAGCTGTCAAAGGACACCAGAAACAAAATTGTAGACCTGCACCAGGCTGGGAAGACTGAATCTGCAATAGGTAAGCAGCTTGGTTTGAAGAAATCAACTGTGGGAGCAATTATTAGGAAATGGAAGACATACAAGACCACTGATAATCTCCTTCGATCTGGGGCTCCACGCAAGATCTCACCCTGTGGGGTCAAAATGATCACAAGAACGGTGAGCAAAAATCCCAGAACCACACGGGGGGACCTAGTGAATGACCTGCAGAGAGCTGGGACCAAAGTAACAAAGCCTACCATCAGTAACACACTACGCCTCCAGGGACTCAAACCCTGCAGTGCCAGACGTGTCCCCCTTCTTAAGCCAGTACATGTCCAGGCCCGTCTGAAGTTTGCTAGAGTGCATTTGGATGATCCAGAAGAGGATTGGGAGAATGTCATATGGTCAGATGAAACCAAAATATAACTTTTTGGTAAAAACTCAACTCGTCGTGTTTGGAGGACAAAGAATGCTGAGTTGCATCCAAAGAACACCATACCTACTGTGAAGCATGGGGGTGGAAACATCATGCTTTGGGGCTGTTTTTCTGCAAAGGGACCAGGACGACTGATCCGTGTAAAGGAAAGAATGAATGGGGCCATGTATCGTGAGATTTTGAGTGAAAACCTCCTTCCATCAGCAAGGGCATTGAAGATGAAACGTGGCTGGGTCTTTCAGCATGACAATGATCCCAAACACACCGCCCGGGCAATGAAGGAGTGGCTTCGTAAGAAGCATTTCAAGGTCCTGGAGTGGCCTAGCCAGTCTCCAGATCTCAACCCCATAGAAAATCTTTGGAGGGAGTTGAATGTTCGTGTTGCCCAGTGACAGCTCCAAAACATCACTGCTCTAGAGGAGATCTGCATGGAGGAATGGGCCAAAATACCAGCAACAGTGTGTGAAAACCTTGTGAAGACTTACAGAAAACGTTTGACCTGTGTCATTGCCAACAAAGGGTATATAACAAAGTATTGAGAAACTTTTGTTATTGACCAAATACTTATTTTCCACCATAATTTGCAAATAAATTCATTAAAAATCCTACAATGTGATTTTCAGGCCTCTCTCATCTTTTTAAGTGGGAGAACTTGCACAATTGGTGGCTGACTAAATACTTTTTTCCCCCACTATATCTAGTGGAAACATCATAAAATACCTGAACACTTTTCGCTTGCGCAAAAACAGCTGTCTGTCCCGAGCTCACTGGGGCGGGGAAACTATTAGGGCCTGGAATAGGCTAGTTGATACAATGTTGCAAGTTCGCTAGTGACAGCTTCGGGCTGGACCCAATTGATTGATTTGATACAATGTTGCACTTCACTTGAAATGGCTCAAGTCAAGGCAGATAGAAAGGAAGGCAGACAGGCAGAGTAGAGAGATGAATGCAATTGAAAGAACCTGCATTTTCATCAGGATATTTTATACTGTTTGAATTTTTCGGCTTTATGTATTTTTACTTAGTTGACAATGGACGTTATAGGCCTACTGCTGCATTGACCTATAGGCTATCTCTGAGTTCCATGCATTCATTTCTTTAGCCGCCAATGGATCACGGTGTATTAATGTATCAATATGGCACAGGCTGGTGCTCTCGTATTAGTTGAATTTTTATAAAGATTTGTATTAAGTGACAATGATTTTGAGAAACTAAAATGTTATTATTGAAATAAAACTGTTCCACTAAAATGCGCATATGAAAATCATAATTGGCACGCAGATCAGTAGAAATGGTAGGATAAATTGTAAGCTTCCCCAATCTAGTTTCACAATCAGATGAAAACATGACTGGTTGTGTTCATGCCGCATTAATAATAATAATAAGTATTAAAAGGCTATACATTTGCATATGTTTTTACTATAAAACCCATTAAAAATTTTTGGAGGTTCTGTGGAAATTAAATGCCCATCAAACTGATTCATTCTGGCGCCGGCCTTGTGTTCCGGAGGGTTTCCCTCTGAAAATATTTGGTTGACGAGCATCACTACAACACCCTCACACATCAAAACTTTAAAGATCCTAATCTCAGATGGAACTGTGTTGCAAATGCACACACACACGTGCACACACACACATACACACACACACACACACAAACACACACACACACACTGCTAACACTATGAACCTATAAAAACATAACGTCGTAGAGGGACATGTGGAGTTCACTCTGAACAAAAGACCCATAGACATTGAATATGTGAATGACGATTGGATGTGTGTGTGTGTACGTGTGAGTGCGTGTGCATGTGTGTGTTTGGAGTCGGTAAAGGCTAGTTCTCTAGTTCCATCCGTCTAAAATAAACCTCATAAGGTTGAGACAGAAACCGTACTGTGAGAGATAAAAGATAAAATGCCTCATGTGGCATGTTTCCTCAAAAACTGTTTTGACTTGCAAATTCATCTATGTATGACACAAGTGTTGAATGCCAAAGTAGAGAAAATGAAAGAAATTAAGGAGAAATGGATATTGAAAATATTTAATAGAAAATGTAATAATAAATGAATATATTATCTGATATGAATGTGACTATGAATATTGTACCTGCTGTAACCCTGACCCAAAAAGGAACAAAAAAATGTTATCTTGGTCATAAAAAAAGAAAGTAAGGAGTGATGACATTGATCTCTGACAGAGGGGAGTGTGGGGTGGGTGTAGGGGGTGTAGGGGGTGCCCCAAACTGGAGGATTTCCCTCTGAAAATATTTTGTTGACGACCATCGCTACAACACCCTCACACGTCACACCATTAAAGATCCTAATCTCAGATGGAACTGTGGTGCATGTGTACGCACACACAAACAAACACACACACACACAACACACACACACACACACACAGTAATACTACTACTGCTACTACTAATAGTTTACTTATGAATTGCACCCAACTCCATCCTACCCCAGACCCCCCACCCACCCTCTACCTCATTTTCCAAAAGTCTGTGGTGAAGATGTGTGGGCAGAGGCTGAATAGCACACAGGAGCCAAACATATAAAACACAGCAACCTTAAGAAAATGAGAGAACCTCAAGTTGACTCTTTGTCACGAGCTTGACTGAGCTGACTGCCAACGATCTATCAACGTGACCAGCGCAACTTCAGCATAACGGTAAGCGAAAGACCTGCGCAAATTCAGCTACACTTATGGGCTGAACTAATTCGATGGGAAATGTATTAATTAGAACTGAAAAGTAACATAGGCTATTACATTTCGGTAAAAAAAAAAAACAAAGCTAATTTTCTGTGTTCATGTAGGATCATTAAAGGCTATGTATATGTACTGTAGTTTGCATTTCTCTTTTAATTTATATTCTATCCACAATGTTTAATTAGGCTAAATTCCCCTTTAGGAAAAAAGCAGCTGCAAACTTTTGGCGTGGTGCAAACCTTTAGTAGGTTAAATCCTGCCCAAAGATTATATCACAACTTGATATATTTTATACACTGAGTATACAAACATTAAGAACACCTGCTTTTTCCATGATATAGACTGACCCAGGTGAATCCAGGTGAAAGCTATGATCCCTTATTGATTTCACTTGTTAAATTCACTTCAATCAGTGTACAAGAAGGGCAGGAGACAAGTTAAAGAAGGATTGTTAAGCCTTGAGACAGTTGAGACATGGATTGTGTATGTGTGCCATCCAGAGGGTGAATGGGCAACACAAAATATTTAAGTGCCTTTGAACGGGGTATGGTAGTAGGTGCCAGGCGCACCGGTTTGTGTCAAAACTGCAACACTGCTGGGTTTTTCATGCTCAACAGTTTCCCGTGTGTATCAAGAATGGTCCACCATCCAAAGGACATCTAGCCAACTTGACACAACTTTGGGAAGCACTGGATTCAACATGGGCCAGCATCCCTGTGGAACGCTTTTGACACCTTGTAGAGTCCATGCCCCACAATGAATTTAGGATGTTTTTTATTTTAAGGAAGGTGTTCCTAATGTTTGGTATATTCAGTGTATGTTTGTATGATTATCCATTATATTTGAGAGAATATCCGAGGGTCCTATTCAAACTTTATATCAGAGTATGCCTGCTCTACCTCTTTGTGGAGTCTGGGTGTGTAATGTTTTTCAGCGAATAGCTACAGTCAGGTCCATAATTATTGGCACCCTTGATAAAGATGAATAAAAAAGACTGTATAAAAGAAATAATACAAATACCAAGCTATAGATTACAAGAAAATAGTGCTCTTTGGCCAAGCACACCAGCGGTGTGAAGAATAATGGAAGCATATGCAGAAAAGTACCTCATACCAACGGTAAAATATGGTGGTGGATCTTTGATGTTATGGGGCTATTTTGCTTCCACTTGTTAAGGTCAACAGCATCATGAACTTTACCAAGTACCAGGACATTTTAGCCCAAAAACCTGGTTGCCTCTGTCAGAAGGCTGACACTTGGCAGCAAGTGGATTTTCCAGCAAGACAATAACCCCAAGCTATAATCAAAATCCACAAAGAAATGGTTAATTGACCACCAGTCTCTGGACTTCAAATCTGTGGTTTGAATTGAAGAGGGCAGTACATAAGAGCAGATGAAGGGTATCAAGGATCTGGAAAGTTTCTGTACGGAGGAATGGTCTAAGATCCCTCCCAATGTGTTCTCCAAGCTCATAAAACATTTTAGAAAAAGGCTCAGTACCTTTATCCTCACACAATTATTGGCACCCTTGATTAAAATGAGCAAAAAAGACTGTATCAAATAAATAAAACAAATACAGGGATGCCAATAATTTTGACTCCTATCTTTTTTAGATATTTTGTATTAATTGTTAAACAAAATGTCTTTCTTTGAGCAATTGTATTAGTATAATAACATAGCATACAATATAGCTCAGTATTTTTATTATTTATTTTATACAGTCTTTTTTGCTCATTTTAATCAAGTGTGCCAATAATTATGGGCCTGACAATACATTATCCAAGCTATATTATCTCACAGGGTTTATAGCGATATGCCTATGTTTTATTTGACAGTTCTGTGTAGTACCATTTGTTGGCTATTATTTACTTAAGAATTATAATGCTGTAACAATATACTTTCTTGTACTTCCTTTCAGGTTACAGTTGTAAATGAGAACTTTGTTCTCAACTGGCTTACCTGGTTAAATAAAGGTGAAAAAATAAAAGAAAAATGTTGATTAGAATAGGATAACTCCAGGTAACTCCAGGTAAAGGTTTCCCATAGGCACAGATCTGTAGTCTGCTTACTCTCCAGAATTCCTAACCCTAACCATTAGGGTGAAACACTAAACGGATGTTAGATCAGTATCTCTAAGGTCATCTTAACCCTACTCCTGTATATGGTGTGACTGTCTCTCTCCCCCTGTACTCTCTTTCCTCTCCAGATGACTGTAATACCATGGTTCGTCATGCTCCTCTGTGTTATTCTACAAATAGTGAATGGCCTCACCTCCTTCCACGACATCTGTGAGTGTGTGTTCGCGCGTGTGTGTGTTTCTCTCTTTATCTCTGAGCTGTGTGTGTTCCCGATTGTAAGTATCAATGGTTTCTGCCAGTATCTCTTTATGTATACTGTAGTCTCAGTGTTTTATTGTGGATCTAATTGAAGTGTGTGTGTGCCCCTGTAGACATGGTGGCAAAAGGGGGACAGTTTGGTGACTCTGACATGTCCCACGGCATTCTCTGGTGCTATGACGTGGAAGTATGAGGGCGAGAATGTGGATTTAGACCACACTCAGGTCCAAGGCCATAACCTGATACTGAATGAGGTGGACTGGTATGGAGAATACAGCTGCTGGGATGGAGACAGGAAACTAGGATCAATCTATCTACTGGATGAGCTGAAGGACCCGGAGGAGCCGGACGGTGTGTGTGTTTGTGACAGAGAGAGAGTTTATTGCCCACATGTCTCTACCACAAGTCTGGTTGTTCATTTGTGTATGTGTGTATGTATGTGTGTGTGTGTGTGTGTGTGTGTGTGTGTGTGTGTGTGTGTGTGTGCTCTGCCTCTCTCTGTAGATTCTCTAATCAGCTGTTCGGCCAAGTCTTATGGCTGCACCTTTAACTGTAGCTGGACCCGCAGTGAATTCACCGCTGTCCGCCTTGGGCTGGGCCATGACTGGTAAGTAACACATACACGCACACACGCACGCACACTGTACAGATGTAGGATATTAATTTGAGCACTCTTTTGTTGCTGAGAATTGCAAACTTAAAGTGTATTAGAATTTTAAAAAGGCTTCTAAAGTTTATAAATTACACTTTGAAATATCAGACTTGATTTGCCCTAACGGAAAATGTTTAAACTCCTACAAAAATGTCCATTAATTATAATCCATATAATAATTCAAATTTCCTGTAGCTGCAGGATTATTTTCCTGCTGTAGCAAACTCCCTCAAATTAAGATCCTACATCTGTATGTGTCTCCAGTACTGACAGCCAGGACTCTTGCACCTGGGTGTACCCAACGGCCAGCCTTCAAGATGGAGGGTTTGAGTTTGAACTGACCCATTCGCTTTCACCCTACACTGAGGAGACCGCTCCCCTAGTGGTCACTGCTGAGGCCATCACCAGGCAGGAGTACCTCAGGAGGACTAAGAGGTTCTACCTACGCGACATTGGTGAGTGAAACCCCCTTCATAACAGGTGGCATTAAAACCATGCACTTCCATGGTACTTCTTTCCAGAGTAAGGAAAGGCTTAAAACACAATTCATTTCCGTTTGTTTGCAAATCTCATGAGTGTAAGAATTTTCATGTGTGATTACACAAACCAAAAACAAGTATCACAGTTGTAACTAGAGGTCTATGTAACAATGTTGTATTCACTAGGAACCTAACGGAAGCGAATGGACCTGAAACCTACCTGAGTTTGTCCTATACGCTTGTTTTTGTTTTTCTGTTGCAAAATGTTTTGCTTCGGCGCAACCTTTTTGCTACCTACGTTGTCCACTAATGAATACACCCCTGCCTATTGTGTACATATCCACAGTCCAGCCAGACAGTCCTGCAGGGGTGAAGTGCCAGGTGATGGATCAGAGATTGAAGGTGAAAGTAGAACCACCAGCCACCTGGAACTGTCCTCCCAGCTACTTCCCTCTGGAGCACCAGATAGGATACATATTTAAAGACAACGGCAAGGTACAACACATACACACGCACACGCACACACACATGCACACGCACACATACACACACATGCAAGCTTATGCACACATTGACACACACTGGAATTTTTGTATGAAACAAAAACTCTCTCTCCTTCGCCCTTCTCTCTCCAGGAGGAGCACTCTATGATTCCTCTAATCCCTAGAGGGGTCAGTAAACTGAGGGCCCGCTCCAGAGACCCCCTGGTCCCTTCCCCCTGGAGCCAGTGGACCCCCTGGAAAAATGTAACCAACTAAGATAATATAATAATATATGCCATTTAGCAGACACTTTTAATACAATATCACTTAATGTCTACTGTCTCCCTCCACTGTAAGCTACCATTATTTCTTCAGGCACTGGTCATTATAGACTAGTGCCTTCTAACAAATATACACATCTGCAAAATGGTAACTATTTACTTATATTTATTGAATGATATACTTATATATTTATTGAAATATATACTTATCTTTTTCATAATAACTATCTGAAAAAAGCTACAAAAGGGTTAACAGCAACCTCTATCTCGAGCACCATTGCAACCCTGGTTTACAGTGTGCAAGTGTGTGATGTGATATCTGTCCCCTTATCAATGTATCTTTGTGGTGGTGTTGCTGTGTAGGCTGATTGTTTGGCTCTGTCTCTGTACGTCACAACTATTGCTATTAAAAGGGCTGTGAGTTTCCTGCCTCACACTTCTGTTTCCTTGTTTGTATACTGTATGTGTGTGTGTGTGTGTGTGTGTGTGTGTTTGTGTGTGTGTTTGTCGGGGGTGGGAGGGGGGGTTATGGTGTATATACAGTGGAGAAAAAAAGTATTTAGTCAGCCACCAATTGTGCAACTTCTCCCACTTAAAAAGATGAGAGAGGCCTGTAATTTTCATCATAGGTACACATCAACTATGACAGACAAAATAAGATTTTTTTTCTCCAGAAAATCAAATTTTAATGAATTTATTTGCAAATTATGGTGGAAAATAAGTATTTGGTCAATAACAAAAGTTTCTCAATACTTTGTTATATACCCTTTGTTGGCAATGACACAGGTCAAACGTTTTCTGTAAGTCTTCACAAGGTTTTCACACACTGTTGCTGGTATTTTGGCCCACTCCTCCATGCAGATCTCCTCTAGAGCAGTGATGTTTTGGGGCTGTCGCTGGGCAACACAGACGTTCAACTCCCTCCAAAGATGTTCTATGGGGTTGAGATCTGGAGACTGGCTAGGCCACTCCAGGACCTTGAAATGCTTCTTACGAAGCCACTCCTTCGTTGCCCAGGCGGTGTGTTTGGGATCATTGTCATGCTGAAAGACCCAGCCACGTTTCATCTTCAATGCCCTTGCTGATGGAAGGAGGTTTTCACTCAAAATCTCACGATACATGGCCCCATTCATTCTTTCCTTTACACGGATCAGTCGTCCTGGTCCCTTTGCAGAAACAGCCCCAAAGCATGATGTTTCCACCCCCATGCTTCACAGTAGGTATGGTGTTCTTTGAATGCAACTCAGCATTCTTTGTCCTCCAAACACGACGAGTTGAGTTTTTACCAAAACGTTCTATTTTGGTTTCATCTGACCATATGACATTCTCCCAATCCTCTTCTGGATCATCCAAATGCACTCTAGCAAACTTCAGACGGGCCTGGACATGTACTGGCTTAAGCAGGGGGACACGTCTTGCACTGCAGGATTTGAGTCCCTGGCGGCGTAGTGTGTTACTGATGGTAGGCTTTGTTACTTTGGTCCCAGCTCTCTGCAGGTCATTCACTAGGTCCCCCCATGTGGTTCTGGGATTTTTGCTCACCGTTCTTGTGATAATTTTGACCCCACGGGGTAAGATCTTGCGTGGAGCCCCAGATCGTGGGAGATTATCAGTGGTCTTGTATGTCTTCCATTTCCTAATAATTGCTCCCACAGTTGATTTCTTCGAGCCAAGCTGCTTACCCATTGCAGATTCAGTCTTCCCAGCCTGGTGCAGGTCTACAATTTTGTTTCTGGTGTCCTTTGACAGCTCTTTGGTCTTGGCCATAGTGGAGTTTGGAGTGTGACTGTTTGAGGTTGTGGACAGGTGTCTTTTATACTGATAACAAGTTCAAACAGGTGCCATTAATACAGGTAACGAGTGGAGGACAGAGGAGCCTCTTAAAGAAGAAGTTACAGGTCTGTGAGAGCCAGAAATCTTGCTTGTTTGTAGGTGACCAAATACTTATTTTCCACCATAATTTGCAAATAATGTCACGATCGTTACAGGAAGACTCGGACCAAGGCGCAGCGTGATAAGCGTACATTTTATTTACCGTACTGCACACGAAACAAAACAACAAACCAAACGATACGTGAAGTCCTAGGTTATACACACCAAACCAAACGGAACAAGATCCCACAAATGACTAGTGAAAACAGGCTGCCTAAGTATGGTCCCCAATCAGAGACAACGAGCTACAGCTGCCTCTGATTGGGAACCACCCTGGCCAACATAGAAATAAACGATCTAGAACAAAAACCACAGAAAACTAAACATAGAAAATCCACACCCTGGCTCAACATCTAAGAGTCCCCAGAGCCAGGGCGTGACAAATACATTCATTAAAAATCCTACAATGTGATTTTGGATTTTTTTTCTTCTCAATTTGTCTGTCATAGTTGACGTGTACCTATGATGAAAATTACAGGCCTCTCTCTTCTTTTTAAGTGGGAGAACTTGCACAATTGGTGGCTGACTAAATACTTTTTTTCCCCAATGTACAGTATATCTGTTTTTGTTGATGTTTGGTATCTTTGTAACATATTAAAGGTGAACTTGATGATTGTATAGTCATTTAGAAATGGAAGAAAGCAAAGATACTCTATGTAATTTAACCACAAAACATTTTACACTAGTCTCATGGATAAGCCTGCTACATAGACACTAATGTAGCAGCTGAGAAATGTCTGGGTTAATATGTTGTGTACTGTGGCTCAATTTGAAGGGCAGCCAATACCATTCACACCTATTCCGTCATATCCTGTTAGACCAAGAAACACAAACACACACACAGGCACACACAGACATGTCCACACACACACACACACACACACACACACACACACACACACACACACACACACACACACACACACACACACACACACACACACACACACACACACACACACACACAAACACACACACACACACACACACACACACACACACACACACACACACACACACACACACACACGTCACATACAAACAGAGGTGGCTGGTGGGCAGAGTAATAGAAGGATGGAATGGTATAAAACACAAGTCGACCGTGTTCGATGTGTTTGATACTGTGTCCTGAGTGGCGCAGTGGTCTAAGGCACTGCATCGCAGTGCTAGCTGTGCCACTAGAGATCCTGGTTCGAATCCAGGCTCTGTCGTAGTTGGCCGCGACCGGGAGACCCATGAGGCGGCGCACAATTGGCCCAGCGTCGTCCAGGGTAGGGGAGGGAATGGCCGGCAGGGATGTAGCTCAGTTGGTAGAGCATGGCATTTGCAACGCCAGGGTTGTGGGTTTGATTCCAGTATAAAAAATGTATGCACTCACTAACTGTAAGTCGCTCTGGATAAGAGCGTCTGCTAAATGACTAAAATGTAAAATGTAAATGTATACCTTTCCATTCATTCCATTCCAGCCATTACAATGAGCCCATCCTGCTATATCTCTGCCCACCATCCTCCTCTGCCGCACGCACAAAACACACACACACATACACACACCTGGTGAAATATTTCCTACAAGTGTAGTAGTGTAAGTGATCTTTGTTGTGTTTCTTGAATGAGGTGCCCAAACAAAATAACCATCTGGTAGTTTAAAGGGTCAAACTAAGGGAAGCGAGCCCTGTAAATATGAATGAAAAAGCTTATGGATAGGAAACACTGTACAATTTACCTTATTACAGGTGGTTGCAGGAGGCAAGAAGGAGGAGAAACACAAAAGGCAACGCAAAGGAAAAGATAGCATCCGCTGCAAGACAGGAGAAAAGAAGGGGACCAAGACTAAGTCAAGATCTGCATTCACTGCTAATGAATAACGGACTTTGTGCTCTCTATTGAATTATCACTATGTGTTTCTGGGATCTAGAGTTAAATATGTCAATAAAATGTAATGTTTACATTTCCCCCAAAAAGTAGTGATAATTATTGACTTTCTACATGCATGTAGTGGGTCTATAGAGTGGATGGTCCTCATGCAGACATTGTTTTACTTATACAAATTTCAGATGACAACGCTAATTTGATGAATGTGACCAGAGATTATTTTTATCTGCTGTGGAAATTAGATCACAACATCAATGCATCAACATATACAGGTTGTTAAAGGGGGAATCTGCAGTTCAAACAACAACAAAGTGGACACCTGCCCCTGTTTTGGTATACAGGCTGAGGGATGGGGCTGGAGAAATGTAACCACTCCCAAATTCATAAACAGAGCTGTCTATAGCTGACAATCTATGCAGTTTTAACCATGTTTCGAGGCTAAACAGTGTTTGCTTATAATTACATTTGCTTACAAACATCGGAGTAAAACAAGCTTATTATATTTGGGGTTTTGATGGGACATTTGAACTAACTATGCTCAAGTTATATTCTTCAAGATTCAATGGGTGACCTTAATTGAAAAGTCAAAAAATAGATCTACTGCCAATCTCAGAGAGAGAAAGAGTGTGAGAGAGTGTGTTTATTGCACACATATCTACATTTTAGTCATTTAGCAGATGCTCTTATCCAGAGCACATACATTTAGTTTAATTTTACTGGCCCCCCGTGGGAATCGAACCCACAACCCTGGCGTTGCAGGCGCCATGCTCTACCAACTGAGCTACACGGGACTACCACATGTCTGGTTGTTTATGAGTCTGTGTGTGCCCTCCCTATCTCTGTAGATTCTCTAAACAGCTGTCAAAAGCTTCAAGTTCCATGGCGTGCACATCACTGAGGACCTAAAAATGGTCTCACCACACAGACACTGTGGTGAAGAAGGTGCAACAGCGCCTCTACAATCTCAGGCTGCTGAAGAAATTGCCCCTCGCAAACTTCTACAGATGCACCATTGAGAGCGTTCTGACGGGCTGCATCACCGCTTGGTACGGCAACTGCACCGCCCTCAACTGCATGGCTCTCCAGGGGGTTGATTGATTGATTGAATTTATTTGACAATTTGTAAAATACATACATAAGGGCCCTCCAGCCGGTGACGCCTCCACATACAGTTTAAGAAAATCATCAAGGATAAAACAATATAGCTTAACAGCTTATTTCCATTGTGGTCCTTTTGAAGAGGGAATGGGGTACGGGGAATGCAACAAGGATATGTGGTAATTGTAATGGCAACAGACAGTGACAGACAAAAATGATTGTTTGTTTCATAACATGAGATAAATAGTACACTTTACTTTCCTAATAAACAACTATGGACAGGTACATCTCCCTTGTCTCACATACCCATAATATATAAAAAAAATCAATACCTAATATATACAAGACAATCACCATATAATAAACAACAGGCACCAAAAGGCAGACCAATATGCTCTCCCGGGTATTTCCTTCTCAGCCACGTACTATAATCTTACGACTCACTTTTAAGACATGCTACTAATTTCTTTAGCCATTTTTTCATTGAGAACTTGAAACTACCTATGGCAGTTATAAGTTTCAAATTCTTCGGAAGACTATTCTAAAGAATGGCAGCTGAGTATAAACAAGTTTATTTCCCCATACCACTTTTAAATCTAAAAGGAACAATGTCAGTTTTACTCCTTCTAGTGGAATAGTTATGGTTATCCCTTACTAAGTTAAAGTAGTTACATATAGTGGGGGAAAAAAGTATTTAGTCAGCCACCAATTGTGCAAGTTCTCCCACTTAAAAAGATGAGAGAGGCCTGTAATTTTCATCCTAGGTACACGTCAACTATGACAGACAAATTGAGAAAAAAAATACAGAAAATCACATTGTAGGATTTTTTATGAATTTATTTGCAAATTATGGTGGAAAATAAGTATTTGGTCACCTACAAACAAGCAAGATTTCTGGCTCTCACAGACCTGTAACTTCTTCTTTAAGACGCTCCTCGGTCCTCCACTCGTTACCTGTATTAATGGCACCTGTTTGAACTTGTTATCAGTATAAAAGACACCTGTCCACAACCTCAAACAGTCACACTCCAAACTCCACTATGGCCAAGACCAAAGAGCTGTCAAAGGACACCAGAAACAAAATTGTAGACCTGCACCAGGCTGGGAAGACTGAATCTGCAATAGGTAAGCAGCTTGGTTAGAAGAAATCAACTGTGGGAGCAATTATTAGGAAATGGAAGACATACAAGACCACTGATAATCTCCCTCGATCTGGGGCTCCACGCAAGATCTCACCCTGTGGGATCAAAATGATCACAAGAACGGTGAGCAAAAATCCCAGAACCACACGGGGGGACCTAGTGAATGACCTGCAGAGAGCTGGGACCAAAGTAACAAAGCCTACCATCAGCAACACACTACGCTGCCAGGGACTCAAATCCTGCAGTGAAAGACGTGTCCCCCTGCTTAAGCCAGTACATGTCCAGGCCCGTCTGAAGTTTGCTAGAGTGCATTTGGATGATCCAGAAGAGGATTGGGAGAATGTCATATGGTCAGATGAAACCAAAATAGAACTTTTTGGTAAAAACTCAACTCGTCGTGTTTGGAGGACAAAGAATGCTGAGTTGCATCCAAAGAACACCATACCTAATGTGAAGCATGGGGGTGGAAACATCATGCTTTGGGGCTGTTTTTCTGCAAAGGGACCAGGACGACTGATCTGTGTAAAGGAAAGAATGAATGGGGCCATGTATCATGAGATTTTGAGTGAAAACCTCCTTCCATCAGCAAGGGCATTGAAGATGAAATGTGGCTGGGTCTTTCAGCATGACAATGATCCCAAACACACCGGGCAACGAAGGAGTGGCTTCGTAGAAGCATTTCAAGGTCCTGAAGTGGCCTAGCCAGTCTCCAGATCTCAACCCCATAGAAAATCTTTGGAGGGAGTTGAAAGTCCGTGTTGCCCAGCGACAGCCCCAAAACATCACTGCTCTAGAGGAGATCTGCATGGAGGAATGGGCCAAAATACCAGCAACAGTGTGTGAAAACCTTGTGAAGACTTACAGAAAACGTTTAACCTGTGTCATTGCCAACAAAGGGTATATAACAAAGTATTGAGAAACTTTTGTTATTGACCAAATACTTATTTTCCACCATAATTTGCAAATAAATTCATTAAAAATCCTACAATGTGATTTTCAGGATTTTTTTTTCTCATTTTGTCTCTCATAGTTGACGTGTACCTATGATGAAAATTACAGGCCTCTCTCATCTTTTTAAGTGGGAGAACTTGCACAATTGGTGGCTGACTAAATACTTTTTTCTCCCACTGTAGGTACCTGGTGACCATACTGTGGACAATCGTATGTACAAGACACAATTTAATCTGAGCGACTCTCTCCTCCACTTTGAGCAATCTAAGGCTTTCAAAGTGGGAATAGTCAAGATGCATAAATGCTGGAAGTTTAAGAATAATCCTGACAAATATTTTCTGAGATGTCTGCAATTAATTTTTTATTATCTTGGGGGCACTATTGTACCAGGAAGAGCATGCATAGTTAAAGTGGCACTGAACAAGAGCCCCTGCCAATGTCCCCATTGCAATCTTTCCAGATATTTGGAGGTTCTTGCCAGAAACCTAATTTAATGGTTACCTTTGGAGATAACATTTTGTGCCATGCTCTCCCCTGTCAAATGTTTATCTAGCACACATCCAAGATACTTAACAGAGTCTTTTGCTGCAACTACTATGCCTACTACCACCTTAAAATCAGGGATTTCCTCAGTGTCACCTTGGACCCAAACAAGATGGACTCTGTTTTTCCAAGGTGAAGTGACAGCTTATTGTCATATAGGTCACATGTACAGTCAGATATCAGATCATTTATATACAATAGAAAGAAAAGTGGACCCAGCACACTCCCTTGGGGTACCCCGCAGTTCAGGATTTTGATTTTAGACAGGGTCCCATCCACATCCACCATCTGTTTTCTTCCTTGCACGTAAGAGTTAACCAATTTTACTGCTAAGTTGTTAAAGCCCATGGCTCTTAGTTTGATTAACAGAATCTCATGAGCCACTGTATCGAACGCCTTTTGGAGATCTAACATAATCATACCACAAAATGTCCATCCGTCTACTTCCTTCCTGATGTGGTCAGTTAGATATAGTAGGCAAGTGTCTGTGGAATGGAATTCCCTAAAGCCAGATTGGAGCTCATAGAATAGGTTATGTAAGGAAATATAACTGTCAATCTGCTTGAACATAATCCTTTCCATGACCTTCGATAAAACACACAGGATTGAGATAGGCCAATAGTTTCCATGATCTAACTTATGCCCTTTTTGTACAGTCAGAGATCTGGAGACTGGCTAGGCCACTTCAGGACCTTGAAATGCTTCTACGAAGCCACTCCTTCGTTGCCCGGTGTGTTTGGGATCATTGTCATGCTGAAAGACCCAGCCACATTTCATCTTCAATGCCCTTGCTGATGGAAGGAGGTTTTCACTCAAAATCTCATGATACATGGCCCCATTCATTCTTTCCTTTACACAGATCAGTCGTCCTGGTCCCTTTGCAGAAAAACAGCCCCAAAGCATGATGTTTCCACCCCCATGCTTCACAGTAGGTATGGTGTTCTTTGGATGCAACTCAGCATTCTTTGTCCTCCAAACACGACGAGTTGAGTTTTTACTTCTATTTTGGTTTCATCTGACCATATGACATTCTCCCAATCCTCTTCTGGATCATCCAAATGCACTCAGACGGGCCTGGACATGTACTGGCTTAAGCAGGGGGACACGTCTTGCACTGCAGGATTTGAGTCCCTGGCGGCGTAGTGTGTTACTGATGGTAGGCTTTGTTACTTTGGTCCCAGCTCTCTGCAGGTCATTCACTAGGTCCCCCCGTGTGGTTCTGGGATTTTTGCTCACCGTTCTTGTGATCATTTTGACCCCACGGGGTGAGATCTTGCGTGGAGCCCCAGATCGAGGGAGATTATCAGTGGTCTTGTATGTCTTCCATTTCCTAATAATTGCTCCCACA